ATATAGTACTGAAAACACACTCAGATACAAAGTTCACTTCACATGGCTATGGCGGCTCATCGCCTGAACAACTCTCTGTTCGTCACTCCCTTGACACTGCTGTTCGCATACAGGATCACCCTGGATACCCCACACGCACACCCTGCACACTTGCGCACACACTCACACACACCTACAGCTAAGGCGGCTATGGCCGCTTCTACCCTATCGCTATGGCTAACTCCTTCTCGCCCTCTTCGTCCTCGGGCTCACTGCAGACCACCTCACACAAGTCGCTATGGCAGCGCTTCCGCATGGCTTACGCAGGAATGAATGAATGGCTGGGTGCTGCCTCCTGATTTATACTTCTGTAGCTCGCTGGTCTGGCCCTTTTCCCTCGGCCCATTGTGCACACAGTCCCGTATGGTACTTGCTGGACTGGACTGGGACTGACTGGACTGTAATGCTCACTGCATGGGGTTGGACCACAACCTCGCTGCAGTCGCACTGCCAACGCACTGAGGTTGGCTCCACCACTTGCCCACTTGCCTCTGTCTAAACGTGGACCTACTCCGAAAGGCCACTTCCGGAAGTCTTTAGACTTGGCCTTTCGGTACTGTAGCAGCTACGACCTTGACCTTTCATGACTGTAGCAGCTATGACCTTGACCCTTCGGACAGGCTACAGCTACGACTTCTAGAACTCGCTAGGACTCCTATCCCACAGGTCTACAGATCAAACCCCTACCCCTACACCGACCTACGACAGACAACAACAACTGTCAAAACACAGGTCACGGGTTCAAACACTCGGGGTCAACACAGATACTGTACACAGGTAAGGAGAGAACTAGGGATCGAGCCCTGGGATCTGCACTCGCTACTGCTGACAGGTGAAAACCGTTTCATGGCAGACTCCAGAAAAGGGGCGTCGGGTTGTCCAGGACTGCATTTCAATAAGAACATGATGAGTTTTTCCGTGAGAAAAAAAAAGGGGCATCAGACACCTCCACCGACAGCAGAAAGTATGGGGGTGTATCTTTCCATGTTCTGGTGGACGATTCATTCTCATTTTGCACAATTAGTGAGTAGCAGAGGGAGGCCCTACATCTCACTGGCAATCCACCGTGCAGGATGGTTCAGCAGCCTGCTGTCTCCGCGTGGAGAGCAGGAACCTGTCATGATGACGGTTGAGATTTGTGCGACGGTATCCAGCAACAGCACAACGGTCCTTTTCCTGCATCGGCCCCGCCCACATGGGTGGATTGCCACTGTCCCAATGGGATAGCTGGAAAAGAAAGGCTTGGTAGCAAAGGTGCGGCGATCTCCTGCTTGGTTCGTTAAAATAGGTTTGCGGGCAGTGGTGGTTTAAACGATCGTGACAGCACTAGTTGCTTCCCTTTGGAAGGATTACCTGTCAGATCTGTACTACACTTTTGTGATACCATCCTTTCAAGGCAATCAAAGATGTGGAGTATGACCCCAAGGAATGGTGCTGCCACCGAGAAGAGTCAACCTCCCCCCTCCACTTAATAGATTACTCAGTCGAATCTGGGCACAACCTAGGCTTAATAACTAAGGACCCAGCCGCAATCATACAACAAAGGTGGTAAAAACTACCGCATTTGGACCCTGTCTCCATACTCGCAATCCTCTGGAAGGAGTACATTCAAATCAAACCTATAAACGTACATAGTGCGCAGTGGCTGATGGCCTATGCAGCCCTCCCTGTAAGTCAACGGCTTCATGAGCGCAGAAAGAATGCACGACCCCAATTGCTCTCCCACCAGCAAAACGTGCTCATGCACACAGCGATGAGGACGTAGTCCATTGCCTAATGAAGTGTGCAGCAGCTGTCTGGGTCTCATCGAGAGTAACAAGGTTGTGGTTCTCCCTTTTCACCATGCCCCCCCTACCCCCTACCTAAACGCCGCCGCACGCTTATGGTACCTAATGTAAAGGAAGGCCTCTCTGTGGACGATCTGGAAGCGAAGATGCCTTCTGACTTCGGAGGGTGAAGAAACAGACAGGGAGGAGTTGTGGCACTCCCTCATCCAGATGACCGAAACAGAGATCAGATCCAGATGGCAGCAGACCAAGATGTCAGGGCCCCCAGGGACCATTAAGGCGGGCTTCAGCAAGAAAATGTTTTTCAAGCAGTGGCCGCTGAAGGGGACATAGCAACCATCGAAGACAACAGACTACAGTGGAAGAGCTGGGAGCCTATGTGAGTATGCAGCTGCCCACTGTAGTCGTGCACCAGCGATGGTTGACGAGGTTAGCCGCTGGATAGATAACGAAGCCGGGGAGGCTGCAGTATATCAGGGCAAGGCGACAGTCAATCCTCCGCCTTTGGAGCGATCAAGGCTGTTCAGGGGTCCCTTGCCCAGAGACAAATCAGTATCAAGCTATCTCAGATTATAAATGAGGTCCTTCAACAGTCTACTTCTGCGAATGGAGAGGAAAGGATTGAAGATGAGTCTATCCACCTAGTCGGACTTTTCCGATTACCAAATTTTAAATCATCTCGCTGCATTTTTTTTTTGGACTTTTATGTCGTGATTGAACTAAACAAGTGTGGCTTTAAACCACCAGTACATCACTGAGGCAAACTTTAAAATGACTGGAGAGAAGACTCCTTGTTGTGTTGTTGTGGAGAGTGGAGTCTGCCATAGCTAGGATTGATGCAAGGTATCGAGTGGAGGGAGAACACTCTGGAGAAGAAGTGCGGCTTCATTGGCCTTGTCACTCAGGTTCACTTTGTTTGCTTAATTGCATGGTAGCATTTGCTTCTTTCATTGATAGTCGGTTTCCTTCGAGGGTTGGTTCACATTGGTTTGGAGTCTTTGGACTTGATTAAGCCTTTGTTGTATACAACTAGGAAGATTGTCATTCCCGGCTGGGCACCTGGGCATGACACCCGGGGTACCCAGGCATGGGGGATTTTTTTTTTTTATATTTTTTTTGGCGGTTGGGGTTTTCTGCACCTACCGAGAGGAGCCCGATTCCTGGGGGCTCTTTCTCTTTTTTAGTGTTGGCTCAACTTCGCTGTCAATGGGGGGGAAGGGGGGTAGAAATTGGTTTTAAAGGGGCTAAAGGGGTCTAAAGCAGGGCTGGGCCGGCAACCGGCCGGTTCAGCTTGCCCAGTGGAACCGAAGCCGGACCAGCCCCGGGGGGGTGAACCGGGAAACCGGTTTTCAAAAAATAAAGCCTAATTCTCTCTTTTTTTTTTTTTTGGTGGATTCTGACTGCGCTCTTCAAGAGCTGTCGAAATCCGTAATAAAAATTTTAAGGTTCATTTTTTTTTGGGGGGTGCCCCAGGGGTAGGTGGGGATATTATTGGGATATTCACGGAGGTGTCACTTTCAGGGGGAGGGGTCGAGTAAGCAATATTACTCATCCGACCCCCCGTGGGCCACGGACTTCAATTCAGTAGCAGAAGGCACTCTGGACTATGCCAACGGCCGTCGGAGTCCTGCAGCCTGAATGAGATGCAATAGAAGTGGATCTTTGCCAAAACTTGTACCTTTTCCAGAGTATAGCTCGACGGCCGAAAAGTTATGGGTGCAGGTTTCAGCTCGTGCAGGCAGAGCGTTTTCTGTTTGTCTTTTTTGTTTTAAATACAGAGCGTTTTCTGTTGTTTTTTTGTTTTAAATACGCTGGGTCATCAGTGTCCTCAGTCCGAAAGTATCTCGCCTGCTAGTCTGTCCAGATACATGTAGTGGAACCACGTGCATTCTAGATAGATTGACAGAAAAATATAGCTTAGGTCCATTCTTGGGCTTGCACCTCAGACAGAGCCGAAACCCAAACCCATAACTCTTTCCCCAGAGCTTAGTGATGTTGCAGACGCATATAACCTCAGGAGAGACACTGCTCTTCCAGTGTAATTCCTTCGTAGCTGAGGATGGACGAGTATGTCATGCCATTGGTAACTGGTCCGTGGTCTGTCAGACCACACTATGCCAAATCAAAATGTGGGGCCTGGTGGCCCCCCAATTTTTGAGAAAACGCGCGCGGCGGTCCTTTGCCGCTGATCTGCAAAGATAAGCGGCGGAGATTCTCCGCTCGTTGTTTCCTAGAAGTGGGGCCCAAAAAGCCCCATTTTTTTTTTTTTTGGAGCCCGCGGCCTCGTGGGGGCTGGGCAGTCGTGGGGATACCTGTCACTGCCCGGTACCCCCCGTCCAGCCTAATGCGCTGGATTCAACCGGGGGTCTGCTGGGCCGGTCGACCGGCCGGTCCGACCGGCAGGCTCCCGGGTGGGGAAGGGGCCCCCGGTCCAACCGGGGACCAGCCCTGGTCTAAAGGGGTCTAAACGGGTCTAAAGAGTGTTGCCTTAGCGTGATTCTGTTATTTTCTTTTCTATCTTCCATTCCATGAGGAATTCTGATGTGACCCTCAGTCAAAAGTCGTTTGCATTGCAATTCTACACAACATATTTTTTTCCAGGATTTTTTTTTTCCACGCTGGGGCTGCTCGGAATCCTGCCCGGGGGTCATGCTCGGTCAGGCGCTCGCCGTGTATCCAGGCAAAAGTTGGGTGCTCGGGTGCCTGGAAAAATGACTTAGGTATACAATGTATAGGCTCATTGCATATTGTCTTATTTTCTTCCATCTCATCTGGAGGTGAACCCTGAGGCACTGCACGGCAGCTGGGGGTCAAACCACCAGTACCCCTAAGCCTGTTTTGCTGAGCTTGGCTGCACTAAGAAAACGGTGGTGGTCTGAGGAACGTTTTTGGGTGGATGTGAATGTGGATGTGGATGTCTGTATCTCCTGACACAGATCACCTCCTGATCTGTACCGACCCTTTGCACGGACCAGAGAGTGGCCTAGCTTGTGACAGGGCAGAAAAAGAAGGGGGCTTCTAACGACTGCTGATTTAACCAAAACCCTGATTCCAATAATGATTTTGCAGATGGTGGTCTTGGATGAGTGTGCTGACTGTAATTGAATTCGTATCGGTATGTTTCTGTGTGTAACTGGACATTTCTTGTTGCATTTGTTGTTGCTGGGTGAACAGAGATATTCACCATGCAGCGCAAAACCTCCAACAGCCAAATCAGCGATTCGCAGATGCAGTGGATGCTCGACAGGTTTGTGAAGTTTCCCTTTGTCGTTGCCATGCTTGATAGGATGCATGCTTTTCCCCATTCTCTGTACCTTTTGGATTGCACCGTTCTTATCTCTCCCTCCTGTCTGTTCTTCGTTTGTACAACAACATTCGAGAATCTCAATTTTTTGCATTCGTCATCACACTTGCACGCTTGATTGGAACGAAATCACACTTAAAAGAAAAGAAGGACAAATGATGCTGGCCTTCAGATATCATTGCTGAGCTGACCGGGCCCAGATAATTCAGAATTGTTTTCATGTAGTTCCATTTGGATTCGAACTCAGGTCTGGATTTCAACAGTTCAGGGGTGTACCAACTGAAATCACACGATTGGAAGGGTGCTGAAAATTCGAAATTGAACATACACGTTTGTTTGCTTTCATGTAACAGAGATATTTGTGTGTCCACAGGGGAGCCCAACGGCCCGGAGCACTCAGCATCAATCGGAACAGAAAATGATATGTGGTAGGCTGCCAGAACTGCCTGGCTATGGTTGCCCCCATTCTCCCTTCTGGCAGCCCTTAACCATAGCTCTGCTTCTTCTTCCACTCCAGCAAACTTGCAGAATGAAATTTGTTGCCACTACTGCCCTGCTCGTCACTTTTGATGACTTGCCTCCCAGCCTTGGCCTACTGAGGCTGCCAAGTCTGGAAGGGCCTAATATAAACTGAGCCTGGAGGTCGTAGATTTAAAATTCACAAGCTTCGCAAGCAACTTAAAAAAAAAGAGGAGACCAAAAACTTGGGACATTTGTGGGTTCAACATTTGTCCGATTTGTTCTTTTTTTTTTTCAAGCTATAGTTTATTGCATACATTAGCTTGTTGCTGGGAATGCTCACAATCACATAGGAGCCTTGGGAGGGCTTTGAATGGTTCGGGCTCGAGGCGTATCATCAAAGGGTTCTGTAAAAGAGGGTCCAGAAAACTCGTAAGAAATGATGGCTTCTAAGTAGGTAAAGGAATCTCAACTGCAACAATCCTGAAGTGTCTACCCACCTGACAGGGCTTATCACTTCGTGAAAACGACAACAAGAGGGAGCTATATGTCTTCATTCATCTCCTTTCTGGTTGTTAAGCCATGCAATCAGGAGTGGGAGATCCTCTACTCAGACCTAGAGAAGGTTGTTCACGACTCTTTCCGCCAATTTTTAGACAGTGGAGAGTATTTGATCCTCACCTAGGCATAGAGTTGGAATTCTCCCCAAGGAAGCGGAGTGAAGTCCTCAAGGAGGGCCTTAACCATAGCAGATAACATGGTCAACTTGGTTTATGATAGAATTTGAATTCAACTCAAGGGAGTGGAGTGAAGTCCTCTAGAAAGGCCTTAACCATAGCAGATTCCACAGTCAATGTGACGAGGCAGAGGCAGAGCAGCGAGGCTGGGAGAGAGAGGGATGAGAGCACACACACACGCTCACTCAATTCGACGCAGACTCGACACGGCTCGACGGACGCAGACACAAAGTGGCAAAAGTTGCAAAGTCGCAGTCTTGAATTCCCGAATACAACGTTTAAGCAATGTCACACTGAACACAAGCACTGAGGCTGAAAACTTGGTGCCCGTACTGGGCTTGAGTCCGTACATAAGTACTGGACTAAAGTACAGTCCTGAGGGCGAAAGTGAATGCCTCAGGGGCAGAACTGAAAGTCGGAAGTCTGAGAGTGGGCGCCAGAATGTTGGATGGCGCCAAGTGTCCGAAATCCTGGAGTCCCAAAGTAAGGAATTTGAAAACGGGCGCCAGAATGAAGATGGCGCCAACTGTGTGATATCAGAAAAGCAAGAATCAAAAACAAAAAGAATCGCAAAACAAAAAAAAGAAAACAAGTACAGCAAGCTGGCAGGTGCCAGGTGGTAACCCGCAGACCAGCGATCGAGCCCTGGTGGAGTCCATAACAGTCAACTTGGGCTATGAACTGGGCTTCAAAACATTAGATCCCTCAGCAGAATTAACAAAATATCGAATTCATTACTGCAGCCCACCACCAATGATGTAACCATATAGATACCATGGACCAAGTACAAAGCTGTCAAACCTGCTATATTTTGCAGTCTATTACCACCAGTGATGTAACAATAGAGATCCCATAGGTAAAGAGCTGTCAAACCTACTAAATTTGCAGTCTATAGTTGCTGGTAGCATATGGCGCCAGCCAACCATGGGCAGTCAACCGATGGCTACAGGAACAAAGGAGATGGTCCTATGTTTACCTGAAGGTGCAATTGTTCATTTGATTACCAGCCCAGATATGACCTTTTATCTGGATTACTAGGTCAGATGTGTGGCAGTCTGTGGGTCGTTTGGATCCTAATGGGCACATTGTGTGGAGATGACTGCCCAATGACCTGGATATCAGGACACCGAGATTGTTTTTCCATGAAATTATGAAAACTAGAAAAATATAGTACAACGGACCTGCAAGTGAGAAACTCAATTCATGACAGACATGAACTCATTGGCCTGCTTGCATGAGAAGACTGGACGGAAAGGAGAATTGCGAAGGTCAAGGTCACACCAATACAAGAGCACACACAATGTAAGATCAGTTTTCAGGTCAACAAAAGAAAAAGCTAAGGAAAAGGAGGAAGAAAAAGACTCCGCTGGGGACCCACTAGCCCCATCGATTTTCCTTTTTGTGATGGAGGCCATTGCTTCCTTCCTGAGAAAAGACCCCTCCATACATATGCTCCCAGAGGTCAATGTAGGAACGTCTCACCATTTGAAGTTTCCAACAGTTATCCTGTTCGCAGATGACATGACAGTACTAATTAGAGCTTCGGACTCTTCTTTTAAAGCACTATCCAGGACAATGGAAGCTTTCAGATTGGCTTCAGAAATGAAGATCAACTGGAAAAAGACCATAGGCTGGTGGCTGTCAGATGTACAAATCCCCAACCTGCAAGGACCAGAGGCGGCTGTGTCCTGGGACACGCCGGATACACCTACCCGTTACTTGGGCATCCTCATGTCACGGGAAGGACTGGTACCCCAGATGGCCCAGAACATGCTAGCTAAACAGCTAAACAAATTGGGAAGATGGGGGAACACTTTCACTTCACTGATAGGTCGAGCATTGGTTTTGAACACATGTGTCTTCTCCATGATGTGGTACATTGCATCGGTCTGGACAATCCCGGACGAATCACTGAAGGAACTTAACCGAGTGGCCAGGACGTATCTATGGACGGGCAACCCCAACAAGGCAGGATGTATCCCAAAGATATCCTGGCAGTATATCACAAGGAGACCAATCCAGGGGGGGCTAGGAATAATTGATCCGAAGTGCGAAACGAGAGCTCTCCAAGTCAAATGGGTAGTTCGATTATTGACTAAACCAGAAACGGCATGGAACAAACTGGCCCTGGATAGCATAAGGGCCTTGGCTCCAGTGCCATCTCCAAAGGATATGACAGGGCTTTTCTGGGTGATGAACAAGGAATGGTCCTTGAAAAGGGCGAGAAGAAGAACCAGGAGGGAAGTACAAAGGGGCATAGACAACCGTCGAATGCCGTACTGGGCTTCTCTAATCCAGATCTGGAGGGAAATAATGCCTAAGAAAGTCAACAGACCAAAATCTAAGGACGAGATACTGAGACAGCCTCTCTTCGGCAATGAATGGCTAAAAGATGAAAACGAACACAAGTGGCAATCATGGGTAAGGAATGGAGTTTGGACAATCGGCCACTTGTGGAACGAAGAAAAGAAGGACTGGGTTTCTGAACAGGAGTTAAGTGAACGTTTGAAGGGATGCCATAGAAGAGGTCCTAACCTGCAACACATCATCAATCTTATTCCTCAAGAGTGGAAAGACATACTAAAACAAGGTGAACCATGGATAAGCGGTGAATGGGGGGTCAAAGTGCAGGAAACCTCCCCCTCCAGGGCTTTCCAATTCTCTCACCGTCTCCCAGGATCAACCACTCAAGCGGTGTTCACTTCTTTCCCAATTGACTACTCCATGAAGGGGAGGACAATGATTAAGAATGGTAACGTGGAAACAACAATCATGGACTACTTCCTGCTCAGAAAAGTAAGGGTCTTAGGTACATGGCCCAAGGCCATCTTCAGAATCGATACGGCCATACACAACCTGGAGTTTGACCCAAGGGAATGGGCATGGAAACCAGAAAGGGGGGCAAGCACAAAGAAACTCACCCTCATCCAGGATTACACGGTCAAATTTGGGTACGAACTACTGCTAAAAACAAAAGACCCAGAACCGGTGATCAAGGCCAGGTGGAAAAAACTAATAGGGCAAGAAGCAGACAAGATCGCACAGATTCCATGGAAGAATTATAAGACAATTAGACCCATCAAAATCAGGAGTCTCCAATGGCTGATTACATACGCAGCACTACCAGTCAACCAATGGCTTCACGTGAGGCGGAAAGGTTCAGACCCCGATAGTTCTGATCACTGCAAAGTATGTACGGAAGGGGCTGTAGAGGATATAGTTCACTGTTTAGTGCACTGTAGGGAGGCGACAGAATTCTGGGCACGAGCCTTGGACCCTATGGAACTTCCTCTTCCCGACCCCCTTTCCCGAACACCCCTTCCAACTTCTTCTTCTGACTAACATCCCTGCACATCTCCGGAAAGCGGAAAAGATTTGGTATGGACTCATCAGGAAGGTGACACTGTGGATCATATGGAAAGAAAGATGCAGAACGATTGAAGGAGTGGCCAACGCACGTGAAAGGTGTTGGCTGGAGACGAAGGAAATGATACAGGCGGAAATCTTATGCCGATGGCTGAAAATCAAGCTATCATGGTCAGAAGACGAGGAACAGCGGAAGAAGGCAAGACTGACTTTCAACAGGACATGGCTGATAGGAGGAAAAGTTGCTGATCTGCGAGACGACCATATCCACTGGAAGGACTGGCACAACTCCAACTCTCGGAACAGGCCGGGACAAGGACCAACGGGGCAACGGCAAGGCGTTTTCGGACCAGAAGTGTGAAGAGAATAGCATTGGGCAAGCCTAGGCAGATGACAAGGAACAGCGTAAGAACGGGAGACGGAGACTACACAGGAATGGGGAAGGGATAAAACAGGACGACTGAGAGCGAGGAGTGCTGTTCCTACGGGAAGCATGTCTCATTACCAGAAAGGAGAGCCCACCAGAAGGCAAAGGCGGTGGTACCAATTACATCCTGAAACACGACAGGACCAGCACATTTCGGATTCATGGGCATAGCTCAAATCTCAGAAAGAGGCTATCGGAAACAGATAACAAGGGACGGGCAAACCTCTACAGGACCTCGACAGGCAAAAATCTCACAGCTTCGTTTGGCAGCGCTAAGTGGAAAAGACGACACTTCAAGTCCAGAACAAGCGGATATTAGGCGAGCCTAAAAGGTTAAAACGGTTCACAGTTTTGAGGGGATAGAGCGACGGTTTTTTCTCAGGAGGCCTTATAAAGGAAAAGTAGCCAAAATAGGAAGAGGAAGTCAGGCCTCTGAAGTGAAAGCCAAGGGTCCAGGGTCTACCACAAAGGGTCAGAGAGATGCAAGGGGGCGAAACAGACTGGCAAGGGTAGCGGAGGAGCTCTTTCTAGGAATAACAGTGTTATCTGGCAGATCGGAACCTTAGGTCTGAGAGGAAAGAGAGGGACAAGGCAAGCTGACAGTCAATCCTCCACCAAAGTGGAGCAATCAATGCTTTTCAGGGATCCTTCGGCCGACGGAAGGAAGCGTGTGTGAGTTTTATCTTGATGTAATGATCATCTTGACTTGCCGGTGGAATAGGAACCGGCTGACGCTCCCCAGAATAGAAGGAGCCAGGACCATAAGGCCCTGCTTTGTCAAAAAAAAAAAAAAAAAGGAACCGGACTGTTGCTCCCCAGAATGGTAGGAGCCAGAGCCGAGAGGCTCTGTCATTAAAATAAAAAAAAAAAAAAAAAAAAAAAAAAAAAAAAAAAGAAGAAAAAAAAAGAAGAAAAAGACTCCGCTGATGCTGAAAGTCACTTTCTGATGTGCTCTTTGCAGGAAATTGACCTTCGGATTGGGGCATCCTTCACACGCTTTCAGACCCTTCTGCTACGAGATCGTTTTGTCATGCCCTTGGGTGAATCAGAGAGGGCTGGAGTTATTAGTTATGGGCCTTGCCAGGTGTGTTTTGTTTGCCATCCATCCTGTGAGAAACAAGATATCCGAACATATTGTTTATGGTTTCATCGTATCCTGTAGTACAATTCTTCCGCTTCTCTGAGTGTCTTTTTTTTCCCCCTATATGTATATTATATTATATAACTATTAAAGGAAGAAGCGGGCCCTGTAAGACGCTTCCTTGGCCCAGAAAAAACGAGGCCCTCATGTCGGTTGGATGGGACAGGCACTGTGCCTCGTTTCGTACGTTTTTTTTTTTGGGCGGGCGGGCCCACGCGTTCATACGTTTGTTTTTCGGGGGCGCTTGGTACAGTTGGTGTTGGCGTGGCTTTATGAACGGGGTCTTTTTTCGCTGCGGGTTCGTTTCACGCCGCGCTGTCCATTGCAGAAAGTGTTGTCCGGCAGGTGTCGGGCAGATTCAACCATGCAGTGTATATTTCCATGTTCTAGCGGAAGATTCATTCGATTTTGCTCATCCTGTCAATGGAAGTAGCGTGAGGCCAGCCGCGAGGTTCGAGACTTACCTGTTCTCTCTCTCTCTCTCTCTCTCTGTATCTCTTTCTCTCTCTCTCTCACAAACACACACACACACAAAAAAAAAAAAAAAGGTGGCAGTGTATAGTTCCATGTTCTAGCAGAAGATTCATTCCGACTTTGCTCATCCTATCGATGGAAGTAGCCTCTTTATCTCTCTGCGTGCATGGCTGGAAAACTCTCTCTCTCTCTCTCTCACACACACACATACACACACATGTGTAAGTGCAGTAGTGTATATTTCCATGTTCTAGCGGAAGATTCCTTCAATTTTGCTCATCCTATCAATGGAAGTAGCGTGAGGCCAGCCGCGGGGTTGGAGACTTACCTGTTCTCTCACTCTGCGCACCCACACGGGCCTGCAGGGCCCGGCCAGCGTTCTCAGCCTAAAAGCCTGAAAACAAGGGCCTACAGGCCCTGTGTCGTTTCAGCCTAAAAGCCTGAAAACAAGGGCCTAAAGGCCCTGTGTCATTTCAGCCTAAAACGGGCCCTCCAGGCCATGAGTCTTTTCAGCCTGAAACGGTGGGCCATTTTCAGGCCCTCATAACATCGACCTGCCCTGAAACTTGAGCACCAGACCAGGGTTTTAGCACAGGCCATTTTGGGCCTCTTTTCAAGACAACGTTTGTTTGAACTTCAACGCCAGGGTCTGGCACGTTTTGGCATTGGCAAGAGCAGCCTCCTGGACGGGCCAGCACTATATAGGACTGGCCCGCCCTGCAGGCTGCAGGCAGTCACGAGGGAGTTCATATGGACTTCCCAGGCACTTCACGTGCAGGAGGCAGGAGGCAGTCTTCAGGATTCGGCAGCAGCACTCTGGAGGAGCGCTGCAGTAGTAGTAGTAGCGTTAGCAGTAGTCTTCAGCGTTGGGCGCTGTTAGGATCTAGAGTAGCATTGGAGAGAGAGAGATGGTTGGCGGAGGCCAGGGAGACTTACCTGTGGCGCCATAGCTCCAGCTTCGCAATGTACCTGCAACAAGGCGCCACCTTCACAGGTTAGTACCAGACTGAGAGAGAGAGAGCGAGAGAGAGAGAGAGAGAGAGAGAGAGAGAGAGAGAGAGTTCTTCTTCTTCCTCTTCTAAGTCCACCATCTCTCCCTCACCCTCTCGCTACCTAACTTCTCAGTATCTGCAGACTAC